ATGTACATTTTCTCATACATTTATCAGACCCCACCTACGCAGTTATTTGGTTGAGTACAGAACAGCATGTCCAATAAAATCAAAAAGGTTCTCTTTGGACAAATGAAAATAGTTTCACATTGTTAAGCCATTTGCCTTCATTCACTAATTTCTATTTTTGATACAATATTTCATTAGAAGATAATTATACAGAAAACCAGAAAGCCTGGAAACGTTCCAGTTGTTGCATCAGACATAGATTACCTCTGCTCTTGAGAATGATTTTATTAACTTTCTAGCTTTTTCTATATGTTTTATTTATCTACTGGGGGGAGAGGAAGGCTTTTAACATGAGCAAATATACTATTCAGTAAGAAAGCATAGCTTTCTCCATTTAAAGACAAAAAAAAAAAAAGAGTAAGGTTCTTCTCTGAGCAGAAGGTAAATTTGCTGAGTGCTTTTTATTTTCTCTGTAAAAATTTGTTTTGATCTTACGTACTACTGTGACTCTGAATTTCTCCAGACTGAATTCCCATATCATTAGAGGTAGGTAACAAGTTCAAGAGAACGTAAGAGAAAACTTGAAAATAGGAATGTGTTTATTCTTTCCAGAGACTAGAAGTAAATGTTTTTTACAAGTATCTGGCTTGTAGTTATGGCAGACTGGTACATCAAACCAACTTTTCTTCCCTGGGCTGCACTACACCAATCTCTGAAAGCTTCCTAGATAACGTCTGGGAGGAGTACTACAGTACATAGGTTTCAACTACACAGTAATTTCATAGTTCTCAGAAATGACACTCCCAAACTCAGAATCTTCTCTCTACAACATTGGATTCAGGCTATTCAAAGATAATAAACACCCCAGATCGTATGATCACCAGATGGATCTAGCACATGAGCTCTAAAATCCTCAATCACCACATTTCATATGACTCAAGATTGGAAAGACATCAGACAGCTGATAAATTATGTGGGTCTCAGAGTGGCTAAGAATATCTTACCAAGGAAATAACTGATTTGTCATTGTGGATACAGTATTTAAAGTGGTTAATTTTGATTTCATTAGCACCAAGTTCCTCTGATTCAACAGGATACTTGATGTTAAGTCTGCGGTCATATATAATATGAACAGAACAACGTAGCATTCTTATAGCCAGAAATTCAGATCCATTTATCAAAATGTATACAAAATATTTAATTGATTAATTGAAACATTTTTTCTTATTTTATTAAAAAATAAAAAGAAAAAGAAATTAAAATAAAGTGGTTTTGATTTCCAAGAATGGAACTATTTGAAGACAAGTCATTAAACAGAGGAGAAGTGGAGATGTATATTGGAGCAGAGATCACCTGGACCATATACACAGTTGAAGCTTCAGGACTGCAACAACTGTAAGAACTCCATTTGGAGTCTGGGAGTATGTTGCAGGACCCCGCACACTGTGAAATATTAAGCTAGCATACAGCTCTACAAAACAGAACAAAAGCAGTCTTCATAAATATCATAAGAAAAAAGCAACGTTATTCCTTCTTGCTGTCAACCAGAAGAAGCACATGATAAGGAGATAATTCTGTGAGAACACTTTATCCTCACATACAAACATGAAAGTGCATGGTCTAAGTCGTAGCATGTGATTTTAAAGCCTTGTTCAGAAAAAGCTTGGACAAAATCTAGCAGCTATAATCCCTGTCTCAGATGCTAACTGCAACAGAGAATCTATCAGTCTAATTGTATCTCCAAACAACACAATAATTGATGCATAAAGAAACAAACATAGAGGATAGAAAGGAAAAAAGCTCTGCAGTACTGGAAGAAGTTTTTGAAAGACTAAAGAAAAGCCGGGTGAAAAAAATTATTTTTCCACACAAACTCATAAACAACTGTTCCTACAGTTGACTTCAAGAGCCACTTGAAGCCTCCACTTTTTGAAAGAATGCCTAAAGATATTTCAATGGTGTCTAATAAAAAGAGAATACATTAACTTCTTATATACTGTATTTAATTAAGTAACTTTGTTGAAGTAATAACTCAGAAACCATAGTTAAATAACTTATGTTTAACCAGGAAAAAATAAACAATAATTTGCCTAGTTCTCCTTGTAGTTATTGTTATTCAATAATATTGGCTATTGCTCAGAAGTTAAACAATAGATGAACACACATCCTAGTAAGAAATCTCATCTAAGAAGAAATCTCAGAGAAGAAGGAAAACTGAGATTCATTCAAAGAAAAGAAAAGCTACAGAAGTATTCAACTGTGTCTAAAAGCTGTAAACCATAGCAAAAATCATGTAACTAACAATTGTAGATGAAAATATAAAAGTGAGATATTACAATTTCTTTTTTTCAAATGCACGATCCGACTGATCCTTTTCAACAAGACAAATTCTTTCATGCAAACAAAACAAGATTATTTCAATTTAAAAATTATATCAAGATAACTAATTTTTTTTTAGGAATACTCTGTAATTCAGAAATGTTTAAAGAAAGAATTGCAAGAGATATTTCACAACATAAAAGCTTGAGACAACTCCCCTGGGAAAACAAATCAAAACAACGACAACAAAAACATTTAAAAGTTAACAGTTTAGAAGTTAACCAGATGGCATACCAAAAATAAGCACTTTTATCTTCATGTGAGAGGAATATGACAATTACCAAGAACTATCTGGAGGTAAGAATTTCTGTCTCCTACAGCAGAATTCTGAATGCTTTGCTTTATCCTGCAAAACTTTACCTGTCTTGAATATTTCATCTGCAGGTATGGCAAATCTGTAACCTGTAACAAGGATTTCAAGAATTTTTTTTTTGCAGGCTTCATAAAATTTGTATTCTTAAACTCTCACTTATGAACCAGTGGTGAACTTCAGTGAATTATCAGTGGTCCTACAGGAGCAGGAAAAAATTATATATCTACTCTCCTTGTTTGCAACATGCAAATTTAGTTGTTTGCTTTTATGTTTATCTCACCTCTTTGCTTGTTTTGTTGTTTATTTTTTTTTGTTGTTGGATAAGAAATCTTATATCACTGTAAAAGGAAAGAATGAAGTCTATAATACTTTACTAAATTGACCACTGTAAAAAACATAAACTTCAGAACAGCTATTTCAGAAAGAAAACTTTCAAAAAACAGCAATCTTTTTATGAGATTGAAAACAAATATATACAGAACAGTCAAAAATGTTACAATCTGTTTCTCACAGAACAGACAGGAAAAACATTAGACTGGTAGAGTAGCTCATTAATTAAAAACATACAAGCATAAATGGATGGAGACATGCCAAATGAAAGACATAATAGAATCATCATAAAACAATGATATATTTTAACATACTTTAATGATTTATCTGGAATAGGCTATGTGGTAAATTTATGCATTACATTTTCTTATATTAGTTTGCCTCGTCTGAAATCTTAATTTCTCCAAACTGTAGCTGTCATACTGATTGCATAAATTTGATTATTAAAAGTAATCACCAAGATATTAAGAAAGAAACAAAAAGCTAGAGATACATAACTTTATGGAAAAAAATTGCTACAATCAAGAATTAAAATTTAAAAAAGGATTAAACATCTTCCAAATGCCTACATCACAACACAGAGAGTAATAAAATCAGTCTCAGCTCCCTTCTAATTCTCGATTTGAGAAAAATGCATATACAACATCAAAGGACAGCAGCACCTTTACCTTTTCCCCTTTAATCTTTCTCCCAGGATTCCCAAACCTGTCTTAGCCAACTGCACCGCTGGATTTAGAAACTGCTATGTGATCTGTGAACTATAGACATGAAGAGGTACTCCTTTCTCTTGTTCCCATGTGGTCTGCTCATCATGGAATAAGTAAACATTAGGTATGCCAGAAAAAAAAAAGAAGGATCAATCTCTAATCTCTATTTTAACAATTAGTTTCTTCCTCACGTAAAATGTGTTCTATTCCTTTCTCTTCTGAATGCTTACTGCTTTGCGAACTTTTTGCATTAAAATAGGTTTTGATAAAGCCAGTGAATATTCCTCATTAATAAAAGCAATCTGAATTTTTAGTGGTCTATTATAAAGTTTTCTTCTGATTTAGAGCAAATGTTTTCCATGATTTCCTATTCATCTGAAATATAGATTCTTAGGACTTGACTTCTCTCTGCTTTTGACAAATATTGTCAGTTGTCAAATTGTCAAATATTGCAGCTGAGGGAACTGGGATTGTTTAGGCTGGGGAAAATGAGGTTCAGTGGAGACCTTATTGTCCTGTATAACTTCCCGAAGGGAAACTGTGGGAAGTTGAAGAACTCTTCCATCTAGGAACACACAATGGCAATTATTCTGCACTGTTAGTTATTTCTAATTTTGCCTCCAAAACTTTATGAGTGAGTATATGTATAAAATAATTCACTGGTATGCCACTTCAGCTGAGGCATTCAGTGACTAATTCTTCTTCTCTGACATCATTTACTACTTACCTATCTTCCAATGAATTGGCATCTTGTCCAGTTTACATTAAATAAGCGAGCCTTTCAGTTTTGTTAAAATTAGTTCACATAAACAGTATGTATACAGTACTGGAATAAAGGAACTAACTTTCCTTTCAAGAACTAAATGAATAAGTATTGGATATTCACAGGTTTCTGCTTTGTTATTGCTGCTGTTTTTTAACAAATATGGACTGATCTGAGATTACCAGTGCTTCTCACACTGAACTGCAAAATGCTACAAAATCTTGAGTTAAGTTTCTTTCATCACAATCTGGCTTCTACAAACAGAGACCCAAAAAATCATGCATTAAAAATATTAACAGAAGAATAATAGGTCCATCAAAGTCCAAATTTTGATGTAAATTTGGCTGAGAATAAAAACACAGGATTTGAGCTGCTTTTATTTTTTATTTAAATGTTCTTTGATTTAATATACTTCAGCTCAGAAAAAAAAAAATATTCCTGCTTAGGAACTGTATCATCTGTCCAATGAAGTTAAAAGACAGGAAGGCAGACACCAATGCTGAGGATTTGTTGACTGCAGTGTACATACCACCTTTCATCATTCCCACTTCATAGCATTTTCTTAGTCGGCAGGCCTGGCAACTCTTTCTTCTGTTCTTGTCAATAGTACACTGGTTAGTGGCAGGACACATGTAGTCATTGTGCCCTGTAAAGCCAGAGGGAAAATAAGGACAAAGTTACACATGATCTTAAACAACAGGCATTACAAATTGCCTATAATATTTTATCATATGTTTCACTCAGCATTTAATACAGCACCTAACATCTCAGGAACAATGCTGTCATTACCTATAAAAAGATGTTAATAACGCTAAAAATTCACAGCACACATTTATACAGGTACTTCAAAATATTAAGAATATTATCATAAAAATGAAAACATCTATAGAATAATTTGTAAAAATTAACAATCAAAACAGCCACAAAAGGGAACAGAGAAATATGAATAAGTTATCTTGAATTTCTTATTCTTAGTAAGAGAAATTCATGTGATCTGTGTGTTCGTTGTGCTGCTGAAGCATCAAATGGTTATAGGTTTATAGAATGAAAAGGACCTCTCTACAGAGCTTTTTCAGACATTTACCACAACTTGGGACAGTTTAGAAAAGAAAAACCAAATAAAATAGAAGCAAAAAATATTAATGTAATTGTACATCAGGGATAAATCAATCCCTAACTCCAATCCCTAATTAATACATGCAAAAAAACACATTTTTTTCATGACAAATTCTTCTATTACCAATCTGGTGCAACTAAGTTTGACACCAGCACCTTGTGTTTCAGAGCTCCATTTCCTCCTTTATTATGTGGCTCAATTCTTTCTACACAAGTTTTTAGCTTATCATAATTTGTTAATGCCAACTCTTCCCTTCATTTTTCCTTTAAAAAAGAAGTATCAAGTATATTCTCAAGCCTGCTATCAAATTATTTTCCAGCCATAGGCAAAGTTCAGCAAGGATAAGGAGACTGGTGCTTGGTATTCATCTAAATGCAACTAAGGTACAGCACAAAACGAAACAATTTTAGTGCAGAACTGTTTGTTCTTTCTTTCAGGTCAAGCGATTTGCTTGAGGTAGAGTAGGGTAGAGGTTTGACAGCAGCCTTGGTCTCATCAAATCATCTATCCTTGACTACAAATTAGAAAATAGGGTAAAAATGACTATCGGATTACACCAGGAACATCTGTTCTCTAATGCTACAAAAATAGGATCCAATCAAAATAAGCAGCTGAATGGTAAACTTGTTATTATAGACAGCTGACTATATGCTGTCTCAAATAGACAAAATTATTATTTAGTAACTGTATATATTTATATATATTCTCTTGGACTGAGGTAAAGAGGGAGAACAGAAATGCAACTCAATCTCAGCATGAAAGAGCATTTAATTTTCATTTCCTTGAGTATGATACAGGCTGTTCTATGTCTACTACAAGACATTTCACATGAAGGGGAAAAAAAAAAATCAAGAAAGAAGGAAAAGTCTCAACCACATAAAAATACAATATATACAGGGGAAAAAGGAGGAAAAAAAAGTCTTTTTTGGAAATGCATGCTTATTAGGTCACACTTAACAGCAGCAAAAAAAGCTATGGAATCTGTCCTCAACCAATTGCCTGGTTTTATAAGCTGAGCTCTAAACAAGGTGAGAGAAAGGTTGAAATCATTAATTAATGTTTTACAAAGAAATAAAAGCTTTTACTGGTTATCTGATTTGCTTTCTAGTAAAGCTAAAATGTAAATTCAGAAATGGAATATCTCCAGGCACTGAAATCATCTTACAACCCTCTATAAGAAAAGTAGATATATGTTCCCACTTTGGTCAAAACAAAAATGTTCTGTAACACTTCTGCTGAACCAGCTGATCTTTGTAAGGTTCAACTTATCCTTTTTCACAGTTCTTGTGCAGGTGATAATGTTCTAATTTGATTTGAACCTATATTTCCTTTTTCCAACTTCAAATTTTCAAAAATGGTATTTTGTTTGTAGAATAGCACATAAAGCAATCCTAACTGTAATCAAGCTACAGTCCTTATTGAAATCAGTACAATACCATAGCTAATGTCATTGCTTAGACGTCTAACTGTACATCAAGGAGGACGATACTGTATTTAATACTGTTTCACATTTTTAAATTTCATTTAACCAATGGGTCTTTCATTAGTTTGAACAATGTGGGAGGAAAACAAAAAGCAACTTGAAAGAAATATTAGATAAGTAGAGCACACAATAAAAATGATCATCAAATGAATCAGGGAAGAAGAGGAAGATAAGGAAGGGAGGCAGGGAGGAAGGGAGGAACAATTCCAGCTTCCTTGCGTTACCATCTGATTTCAAGTGCTCAATCATTGGAATCAGAGAAGAAAGTTTCCTCTGTAAGGAACAGACAAGACTGGGATGGTGCAACATGGGGTGGCACGAATGGGAAAAGATAGAAAAATGTAACTGTGTGGAACAGGCAAAACCCAAAGATTACTTATAGTTCTAAGTAAAGTAATGTAATAAATCTGAGGCGTACTGTCTTTATAGTTTTTCTATTTTCTCCTTTATCCTTAAAGCTCATCTCTTTGCAATGCAGATTCTGAACACTTCAGCTTATTAGAACTGATTCCTTGCTGATTGGAGTCATTAATAGGACAGTGAGACACAACAGGTGTCCAGCTGCCCTACACTTTCTTTTAACAGTACTAAAAGAATAATGCAGGCTACGGGAGATACTAATTAGACCATTAAAATAATTGGTATCATAGGAATACTGAAATGAAGAAATGTCTTTAGTGATCACTGATACTTATAAAGGGAAACACTTGGACCCCTGCTCTTATTGGTTTGTTGCTTTTCTGAAAATACATTATCAGATACCCTGCACAAGATTAAAGACAGTGAGTTTATTGTCTTATATATTGAATAACATAACTTATGCAAATCAATTACATTCTGTTACATATATTACTCATCTTAATCCCCGCATTTGTATGACTTGCACTGTCATCAGTCACAAAGGAAGACTTGAAGGGAGAGGTTGGAGGAATTGAGCTTTTTTCTGGTTGGAGGTATTGGGTTTTTTTTTTTAAGTTTGCATATTCCACATTCTAAAATAATAGCAAAATTAAGTATTTTTACAGCATTTATTATATGCTAAGGTCTTTCTGAACAGGTCAAAAGATCTAAGTCCATATGATAACAACCAATATAATAGGGAGCAAGGTTGAGGAAGTAAAATGTTAACGAGAAAATAATGGTTGAAATTAGGAAATTCCATCTTATCCTCACTTGGCCTGTCATAATCATGGCTGTTTCTTGTTGGATATGCAGTCTGAGTCTTTCTTGTCACTATGAGTCAAACATGTAATATTTATATTCAGAGACTCACATCACTATCAGTCTGAGCGTTCTCATGATACACGCAGTGTATGCAACAGACAAGCGTGCTTGAATCAGAGTGGGAAGATGATTTATCTGTGAGGGTTTCAGTCAACAGAACATTTCATATTTCTTTAAAGTTAAATGTTACTACATTCAGCAGAACATTTAAGTATCAGTGTATTTGTATCTAGTAGTTTCAGCAAAGTGTGTTGGTTAAAGCTCTGAAAGTAATGCTTCCTATTTTTTCCACGGAAACTATAACAGATACAAAGAGCACTATAACACTATTTGGTGCAGGAAATTCTTAACTAAAAAACACTACTCTTCAACATATTCAGCACCATTACCTATGCATTTTTGCCAGCAATAAGCAAGAGGCTGCATGCCATGCTTGTAAATATCTACACCTGTGGAGGTACCCACTGTCACTGCCACCACTGCTGAAACACACTACCTACCACTTCACTGTGCCCACATCCACTGTTCGGACTCCATAAACGTTCAGCAAGTGTCAATGATGCCAATGGGTGCCATTTTTCCATGTAGGGGAATTCACTGACACACCTTTGGTTCATACACACTTCCATATCAGACACCATTTTGTTAGATTGCCCTTCTGCTGTCATCTGTCATAAGGTAACAAAATGTAATGGAATACTGGCAGGAAGGTTCAACCTCTAGGGCTATGCCATCAACATTTGTCTCTACATTGTAGGCTAATATAATAAAATAGGAGGCATTACTTTCAGAGCTGTCTTCACGTATCATTGAATGAAAGAGAACCATAAATAGGTTTGATTTTGCACAAGAAATTGGTTTAAAGTCAGTAAAGAGATTTTCTCAGAGCACTGATGTTAAAGACTGTTATAATATTTTAATAAAATGAATATTTTCATTTACAGGTGGTACTGCAAGTATACTATATCTCCTTGCAGACTGTATATTTAATTATCAAGGACCAAATATAAAGTAAGACTACCTAAATTTCTTCAGTAGGCCCATGAGAAAACATAATCTGAAGTTATGCCTGGAATAAAAACAAAGATATGTTAATTTTCTTGTGGCCAACAACTGTTAGATTTTAAGTGCACAAGAGTAATTCACAGTTGTTTTTATTTCTTGGCCTCTCCATATTGTCTGTGGGAGTTTTCTCTAGAGAAATTTCTTCTCTTCCCGTTTTAGCTCAAATAAGCTGAAGCTAAAAATACAAGAGATATCATTAAAAAACTACGGGAATAAGATAGCCATTGCTTGTCTATGACTTTTTCAAAAATGTATTCTGTCTCTAAAGAGATCCTATTGAAAAGGCTGTGAGTAATAATACCCTGAGACTGTGTGTAATTTTCCTTTAACATAGCAGTTGGTTTAATCATGTGCCAAGGATTTAAGACAATTGTGATTTTTCAGATAAGGAAACAGAAACTAGATGTCACATTCCTTAACAGACGTTTTAGAGATTGGAATCTAGATTGGTATATTTTTTCTTATGTCATGAGGAAAAAAACATGGGTCCTATTTTATTATCTTCTCTAAAATTAAAAAAAAATAATAATGTATTTGAGGTAGCATTATATTTTGCATTTAGGGTGATAATGCTGACATAGTGGAAACTCCAGTTTCATTTTCATCTGCTGGAGTAGAAAATATAATTTTACATTTATATAAAGTAAGATTAGGGCTTTACTTTTTATATTTTACAATGTATACGTCCATGAGTTACTGAATTGGTTAGATGGCAGCTGGTTTGGAATCCTGAAGCAATGTCTGTTCTCATTCCTTT